ACCGGTGGCTCAGCGAACGGAATGCCGTAAAATTGATTAAGTTCCTTACCAAGCTCAGTTATAGTCTGTCCCCTAACAGTACCGGAGCTGGTCTTGACGTCCACCGTCTCGGCGCCGATACCTAAGCACCGGACGCCTAACAAAACACTTAAACACAAGAATAACATTATTGTGTGTTTAGTTGAACACAAATATCTGTATTAAATGGTAAATACATTTCGCAGTTAATTATATATTAAAAATTGGTGTGAAAATTGTAATATGTTTTAGGAGCAAATCTTTCCGGTAGCAAATAAAGTACTCTAACGTACTTAATTATTTTATTCATGCTAGATTAGACATTTTGTTGAGTGTATGCGAACCAGTAACTGAACAAGTACACAAAAATAAGTTCCACTTTTGAAAATAAAGTTATCAATGCAATAATAGTTGTTGTAATCAGTGTGAGCGAACCAAATATGAACTAGTTAAAAATAGGTTTAAAATGCATCGTTTACATTAAAGATGTACAAAAGTGATTACAGATACATGTAATCTTATATAAAGAATTCAACTAATTCTTATATATAGATTTTTACTTACATTATCTCTACTAGTCATAACAATTTTACTGTATAGTCAAATTATGAAATAACTATAATAAATATGTTTTCAGATTTTAATTCAACATATTCGTATTCAATTTTTACACAATAATAACAATAATTTAACATTAATACTATTTTTTTTAATTATTACAAACATAGAAATTTAAAAACTTAATAAAGTATTATTGTTTTTTATTTTGTACCATTTTATTGTCGTATATCTATTAAATCAAATTATTATTCAAAATATTTTCCCCAAAACTCGTCGCAAATCTTCTTAAAGGGATCGACAAGTGTTTTGCTGAAGTCGTGTGGATTCATGTCCTTAACCCTCGATATCTTGTATTCTTCGGCTTTGTTCACAAGTTTAGGCCATTTGGTGTCAGTCGTGGGAACACTTCATATCAAACGTAATGACAATTAAAACAAATCTACTTTTCAAACAAACAATTAATTTATACCCAGTTTTGGCAAAATTAGTCCAATAACTCATCCATTCCTTACTGAAAGGTATGTCGAGCTTAGGATTGGAACCGGTCCTGAAGAATACGAACTCGAGATCAGATCCATGGCATATACCCATTGTCTTTTCATCGCAACCATACAAATGTCCGCCACTTTGATACGTGAGTTCATAGAAGTAGACATTCCTTGTGGTCGAGTGTTTGGCCACTTGTTTGGCAAACAGATATGTATTGCACTTCAAATTGATATCACCGTAAAAATCATAATAAGCCCATCGATAGGCTGATTGGTTGCCGGGTTTGATGTCTTTGAGATAAAACTCTTTAATTGCCTCCAAATCGGGATCTTTTATAAGACTCTTAACTTCATTAATAAACGTCTGTTCGGTTGCATTGCCTTTGAGTTGGTCCGCAAGAAGTGAGCCCTCATTGCGGACAATACCAGCGATCAGATCCACGTCTGGTCACAAATAAATAATTTTAAATAAAACTTGTTGGTACTTTTATTGCAATATGCAATCACTGTAAGTATTATAATATGTGTTATAAAACACTTCAATATTAGCTCTACAATAAAAATTTTGAGTTAAATAAAACCTAACAAGTTAATTCATGGACACTGACCTGTATTATACTTTCCCTGTTTGAAGGCCTCCTGAGCATTGAGTGGCATAAAGGCGTTGCCAACCATTGCACCGACAGTGAGAGCCCCGTAGTCGTGGATCTCATTCGCGTCAACCTTTCGCAGGCACTCTAACCACGTCTTATCGTCCGTACACTTGAAATGTTTGCCCATTTCCTTGGCCTCGGCTAATGCCTGTTCCCTCGTATAGTAGACCTGATCGGGTGTCAGGCTCTTCCAGCTATAGAGCTGAGCGCCTGACTCTAGTATAGCCCTCGCAAACAGCCCTTTCGCCAGTGGAGATAATACCAGAGCCGATGCGGCGATACTACCGGCGCTCTCACCGAATATCGTTACCCTATCCTTATCACCTCCGAACGCGTGGATGTTTTCCTGTACCTGTATTTAAAATGATAACATATGGATTAAGGCATTGTTTTATTGCCAATAATTATAAACTGCAATCAACATTATTACAATTTTATTATTAACATAAATTTAAAACACAAATTAAATATATAAATAATAGTGGTGATTATAGTTGTGTTAGAAAACTTATTTATAGTTAGAATATAATAAAATTATTAATTTATAAAATTGGAATTGTATTTGTGTTTTAATATAATAGCACATTTAACTTTATCTTATTTACACTTCATTTACTATTACCTTATTTAGCCGTTTATTATATACTAGTTTTAATTTTTAATTAAATTCTATTAACTATTTATAATTTTATAATCTACTCTCATTAACTTAAACATTTCAAATAACTGTACTTCAAATAATGTAACATGGCTGCAATACATACCCATTTAAGTCCCTCAATTTGGTCAAGTAGTCCCAGATTGCCCGGTGCCATATTATCATCGCCACCGTATATAAAACCCAATGAACCCATCCTGTAATCCACGGCCACATACACGACATCATAGGAGGCCAACGACTTGCCGTTATACATGTCCGAGAATATAGAGCCCCCTCTGAAACCCCCGCCGTATATCCAAAACATAACTGCTTTTAATTGTGTGGTGTTATGGGGCGCCCATATGTTGACGTATAGACAGTTTTCAGACGCCGGCTCATCGCCACCCAAACAGGAGGTCTTCTTTTTGGTCGCATCGATGATAGCCTTAAAATATTTTACAATTATTTATGTTATTTAAAAACATGTGAAACCTTTTTGGAGTCTATTTTGTGTGATTTGTATTACCGGTGAAGGCTTTGTAATAGGCATTGGTTTGGCAAATCTCAGGGCACCGACCGGTGGCTCAGCGAATGGTATGCCATAGAATTGGTTGAGTTTTTTGTCGAGTTCGACAATAGTCTGTCCCCTTACAGTACCGGAGCTGGTCTTAACGTCTACTGTCTCGGCACTGATACCAAAGCACCGGACGCTTAGCAAAACACTTAAACACAAGAATAGCATTATTGTGTTTAGTTTTATTAAATTATTATAATTATGTTTCTCACTGTTATTAACAGAAAGTATTTATACTAAATATATGTGTGATAACAGTTTGCATCATAGTTAATTGCTCATTATTTATTAGTGCATTAATAGTTCAGGGCTAGATTATAGCACAATTGTATAAATATAATAAACATCGGCGCACCCTATCCCCATCAAGGTAGGGTATGCCAATTATGTTTCAGATAGAAGTAATGTAGTATATTCTGTAAACGCACTCAGTTGATAATTTTCCCTGGTGATTAAATAGCCTTGAGTTTAAAAATCAACATTTTAAGTAATTTACTTTATTATTTTGTTTCAAATCAATATTTTATTGAAAGTACAGTACAAATGAGATACGGTATTGCTATAGAATGCACTTGGTACATTTAAATGTCTGTCGATAAATATTAATTTCAAAATCCAATTCAACTTCAATTAAATCATTTTGTGACACAATTTTAGTCTAAATCAAACAAAAATTATTTTTTTTATTGTCTTAATTTAGTTCAACTTTTAGGGAATTACTAAACCAGCACCGGCATCGATGCCAAAGGGTATGTCCCCATGTTAAACTTCTTTGTATTATGGGCGTGTAGGGGGAGGGTGGATCAATTTTTGACCAAAATCTTGGGTACTAAATTCAATTGTGTTTAAATTCAAAATAATTTCCGTTTATTATCATAATCTCAATCATAAGTATGAATACAATTTAAATGAAACTCTTTTGTGTATACATTCTGTTCACTCATTACTGTATTAATTGTTATTTTATAAAACGAGTGAATACTGCATACGAGTTAACGATATATTTAGGACAGGGTCTGTTTGTCAAAGAGGTACTCCCCGAGACCCGGGCCCACCCGTTTCAAGTTAGTCACGTGATCTCCCAGTTTCTTGATGTCGTCCACCTGTTCGTGAAGGAACTCACTCTCAATGAAGTCCGTGAACTCC